ATTTTTTTTTTTTTTTTGGTCAGACCACTAGTAAAAGTGTAACTGGGAATTCTATCCAGTCTCTTTCAATCCATATCCCACATACAGTAGTGTGTAAATTTGTACTTCTGAAATGGATATATAGCATGCATAAGAAGTGCAGCCTTCTGCATTTCAATACAGTAACTGTCATCTAAACTGCTATCATAGTTTACATCAGAGTGCACTGTTATATTGACAACATGACTAAGCATCTTGTTTGTGAACAATGACACAAGGACTTTTCATTCTGATGTCACTGATATGTTCATTGACATAAATTCTTACTTTTGAGAGATGAACTGAAGATTTTGAGTAAGTTACAGGCTTTTGCAGGTAATCCATCGTGTGGTGCTGTTTGTACGAATTGTTTTGAGAAATGCACATACTTCTTTTCAAATATTGTGGATGATTCGAGAAATGCACCAAAGCGACTGAGAAAAACTGCATAACAATTCTGACCTTTTCCCTTCTCGCTATTCTGAGGAAAAAAGTTTGAGTTACGAGATATACTTGGAGATATTCCGTGGCGAGGTAAAAAAAAAAAATCAATGTAAAGTCAGAATTTAGAAAATAAACCTGTCAGAATTGCGACATTTTAACGCTAAATTGCAAGAGAAACAGTCAGAATTCAGATTTTATATCTTGCAATTCTCACAGAAATGCGAGTAAAAACAGTCTGAATTACCTATTTATTTATTTATTTATTTATTTATTTATTTATCCAGATATTGTGCTATTTTTTAGAAAGATAAGTTGTTAAATGTGAATTAAATTTACATTTAAATTTCAAATTAAAATACGAAATTAAATCACACCGCACCACGTAATTAATAAACACAAGCTATTCCTTATTTAGTCAGCCCACTCACCTACTTATCGACGTCTCTTAGCCAATCAGCTGAGACTACTCGTTATTTAATTAATATTCATGAGCAAAGCCTTCGCTCTATACAGTAAAGAGTTTCGCTCATTTTAATGCATACTTAGCGTTGTCTGTCTTTCAGCCAATCAGCTAGGGCGAATCTTACGTCACGTTGATTAATATTAATGAGGCACAAACCTCTGGGTGGATCCCGGTAGAAACACTGATGTTGATGATAAATACTGCTGTCATCTCAACCAGATCACATTCACTGCTTATTCATCATGGACTTCGATCTGTGCTCAGGTAAACAGATGCAGAAATGATATACCAGTAAACACACACTGGTTGATTTCTAAGAGAAACTAACAGTTTTATTCCTGTTTTGGAGCAGCTGTTGGAGATGATGAGGTGAAGAAGCAGGAGGGCAACGAGGTGGAGGGCATCTTTGGCTTTGGAAAAAAAGATAAAGACAAAGAAGAAAAAGATAAAGAGTGTAAGGACAAAGACAAAGATAGTGACAAGCCAAAGGTAAGAATATTTCATCATGATGGTCAATGAACGTTTTCTAATACACAGAAAAGTCAAAAATCACAGTTTCTGTTATAAGAACATCAACATGCCTGACATACTTATCATAATGTTATTGTCAATTCTGTGTTATATTGATTTCAAACTAAAAACTTTTACATTTTATACACATGTAGATGAAAAGTATTGAAAAATTATTATTATTGATAACTAAAACTAAAACCATAAAAATGTTGTTAGTTGAAATAAAATATAGAAAACTTATTTCAGCGAGTTGCCGAGGCAACATTTTTCATTTTAATTTAGTTTAACTTGACTAACTGAAACTAAAACTGACATAAATTATAAATAAAATAAAAAAATGACAAAAACATAGATGAAAATGACTAAAACTTTAGAATAAAAATTCAAATGAAAACGGAAAACATAAAAATAAAAACCAAAGCTTACAGACATAAATACAATAAAATTATAATTAATTAAATATATTATAAATAATTCTAATTATAACTAAATTATACATAATTATACATAATCTATAAATACATTATTAAAAACTATAATATCAATATCAAATATATAATAACTAATATAATTCTATCACTATGATATTACAATAACACATTTGGAAAGTGTTTATAATGTGATCGGACAGTTAATAATCTGAATTTCCTATTAAATCAAAATATTTGCATTGTTTTTTTTTTTACTTTTTAACCCCTTCCACTCCAAGCACTTTTCCTTTAAAGCCACTTTTCAGTTTCCTGATGTGTTTATAATCAGATTACAGAAGCAAAATGTGTTGCGAACAGTGTTTTGTGTCGAGTTCAACCCGGAAGACTCCTTTCAAGAGCTCAAAAATGTTGCTCAGCCCTTGAGGGTTAATAATGACGTAAAATAAGAGATGTTACTACATGCTGGTGTTTAGAATGTGATGCATTGTACTGTTTTATGCATGCTTTTTCAGAGTGATTGCAAAGAAGAGGATAAAGACAAGGACAAGTGCAAAGACAAAGAGAAGGACAAGAGCAAAGACAAAGAGAAGGACAAGTGCAAAGACAAGGAAAAGAAGAAGGATAAAGAGCACAAAAAGGGGCACGGACATGGTCATGGTCGGGGACGTGGACGCGGACGCGGACACAGGTCATCCTCTTCATCCAGTGATGAGGTACCTTTACTATGGTTTTATAAACACTTAATTAAAACAAGCCCAAATTAATTTGGTTTTGTGAGACACAGAAGGAGATATTAAGCATATCGACTTCTTTTATGGTGATTTTTGGTTGTTTTTTGGTGCAGTTTGGTACCATTCGTTTGTCTATGAGCAGACAAAGTTTGAGTTAAGAACAGGTTACTAACGTTTTAATTACATTTTTTAACTGAGGATGTAAAAATGGCGTGATAATGGCATCTCATAAAAACGGCTGATCTTGAGGTGTGGTGCGCACTTACAGTCGTAAAGATCTAGGGCACATGCTCCATTCTTCAGTTTTGCTTAACTACAGTTCAAAACAAAAGACTCAAATGAATCGTTCTGATAATCTGATTGGATGAGCCACGTTTGATGCTAATCTACATAAACTTTCTACCTCACTGACTTTCGCCATGTTTCATGTTCTTCATTCTTACATGTAAGTAATATACTGTAAAACAAACCTGGCCAGTTTAAACGTGTCAAACTTCGTTAAAAACACCTGGATGAAGTCGAGTGCTTTCATAGTCTGCTGGATGGGTCCGCCCCTGTAATGCAGACAAACCGGTTTACTTGTTGAAGAGAGGACAAAAAAAAACACCAAAGATTTTCCAGAAACCAAATGCATGAGATTCGAACAATAATATAAAATCTGTGTTTCTCAAATCATTTATGTAGAGTTACAAGCACTTGAATTGTCACATTTGTTTTTTTTTCATAGAAAACTGGAAGTTAACATTATTCTCTCTTTGTTTGCAGGACTAAAGCTGAAGACTGAAGACATAAGGGGGCTGGGGCAAGTTGTCACACAGGGAAAATGTCCTAAGGGATTTATTTTTATAGCAACTGTGAGGTTTTGTCAAAAAAATCCAATTGCACAAATGCTTGTTTTCTAGCAGTGGTTTTATATGTTGGTTTCAAACACCTAGTTGCTCCATTTGTATTAAATTAGGATAATATTTTTGGAATTGTGTCCTACAGACAAAAATTTCAGTACTATTATCTTTTTATACATTGGTGCGAGCTGTTACATGAGTTCTGTGATGTACTGCATATACAGTATCTATGAAAATCTCCTGTTATTTTTTTGTTTTTTAATTTTTTTGCTGTTTGTTTTACTGTTAAAGACATTATATAGCCTGTAATACATTTGAAATATTATATTGTGGAAAATGGATTGATTTTATGTATTTTAGTATGTCATGTTTGTTTTCTCAAAACAATTCCCATTCTTGTGATTTATCCCATATATAGTGACAACATGGCCCACTAAACATAAGTCAACATAATGAACGTTAGGCTATATTTATACTGGATAATAATGATAGACATGTCCAATAGTTGTTTCAGGGTGGTGACTATTGAAAAAGTGACATAAGTGACTTTTCAAAATAAACTTACTGTGAGAAATTAATTGGTATAAAAAGTTGTCCTAGACTCCTTTATTTACACTACAGTACAACATATATATATATATATATATACACAGTGGGTACGGAAAGTATTCAGACCCCCTTCAATTTTTCACTCTTTG